GGATCCAGAACTTCATGAGCTTGCGCTCGAAGTTGCTCATTCCCCGCTCGTCGCGAATCTCGACACTGGTCTTGAGTTCGATCCAGTTGATAGGTGCCCCCTTTTGGGCGGGCTTCGAATCCCAGACTGGAGGGACGGCAAGTATTAGCGGATAGATATCTAATGGCTAATTATTTTCTCCTTGGTACTTACTGGCGTCGACCTCGCCACCAATACACAGGATCGACCTGCCAATTCCAGTACGTACTACGGAACAGTACTGGGCTTTGTTGCTGACGGTTAAATTGTCGCGGTTCTCGATGAACTCTCTTGGAACCTCACCCCAGGGGCGCGGTAGGCAAGACAGCGCCTCAAACTTGTAGCCTGTGGTAGAGTATGTTTGTGTTTAGTTGAAAAGTTCGCCAAGGTCAATCCATCCGTATAACTCACCCCAGTACGTCATGACTTCAGGCGAAAACTGGCCTCGCCTCCCTGGTTGTTGCTGCTGTCTTTTCTGTTCTTCCTGCGAGGCCTGTTTGTACGCATAGTTCTCTTCGATGAATCTATCGGTTGGCGTTAAACTAGGTGAGCAACAGTCGGGGGAAGGAGGCCCTGGGCATACATGCAGTCCTTCACGGGATAATCAGTACTCTCTCCGATAAGGTAATGTGTGAGCCGCGCACTTGGTACAGAGTAGCATTCATCTCAAATCTGAGAAGATGTGATCATGGTTAGAGCTTCATATACAAAGCAAAATAATAGGTATCGTCGACACATACCCGTCTCGATCGTCAAATGGAGTCGCCATTATCTGAATTTGTTAGTTGTCTTTCGTGGCGTATAATCAAGGAGTCATATATAAACAAGTACCTTGGTCATCATGCCTCGCCAAGTCACTATGCCAGCATCTATCTTCTTCCCTTCCTCTTCTTCGTGAGCGATGATGGTCTTAAGAAGGCTGTCAAGATGCTCGTCTTTATATTCGGCGCTGTCGAACTTGTCGAACCCCTTAGAGAGATCTGCCCCTAACTCGGGAGGGTAGTACCACTGCAGCGATGAGTCGCCAAGGTGGAACTCGTGCTTGTCATCGTATGAGAAGCATGCTATTTCCTACAGGCAGATTAAGATGGGCTCATGGAAGGGGGATCAGGGCGGAGTTTGAATGCTAAGTAGGTAGGTAGATATGACAATTACCTTGGGTCGTTTTACAGGCTCGCTTTCGCCTCGAAAACGGCCGAGGGGATGAATATTGAAGGTCGCAGCCATGTTGCCAAATGCTTCATGCCTATGTACTAGGGTTGATATCAAGTCCAGCCGTGAGCATTGCTTCGCAAGGGAAGCGCGTGTGCTGAACATCAACTAGGTACTTACAAGCCCTCTGAAAGCCAAGAAGTGGATGGATGGTTATAAGTTTAAGTTGGGTCGATCGCCTCAGGGAGACTACCTAGGTACTCTACTAGCCTAAGGCACCTAGGTATTGAACCTTAAGCGGCAGTCAACCTATCAGCGGTTGTATGTAACAGTCCTTCTTGCGAGTTCTAGTCGTAGAGTTGTTCCAGTTTGGACTTGCCCCACATTTCAGGCTTCTCGAGATTCCCAAATCCCATTTAAACACAGAAGGTTTAGAGCAGGGATACCCCACAAACTAACCTAACCTTACCTGTGTACAGGGAACCATCCCGCCCCTCTCTGTGTTTTTTTGTTTGGGTAGCACCCAATAAACAACACCAACTGCTGTCTCTGTTTCTCTTTCTCTCGTCCCATCTCGACATAATCTCTCTACCACGAGCATCATACCACCGCCTCTCCCCAGAGCAGTAGCTCTTTTGTTTTCTCGAGCTCCAAAAGTATTATTAGCATCCCCCCCCTTTCACCTTACACTCGCCCTCTCCCCTTGTCTTCCTAGAGAAAAGGGGCTACGGAGAAACAGAAACAGAGCGACAACCTCCTCCTACGATTTTGCTTGGGTAAAAGAAAAAGATAGCAAAAATTATTGGTACATTTATATACACTACATGCATTATACGCAAATGTACAGCAACGATCTCGGCACCTGACCCAACCTCGCCTCGCCTCGCCTCTTGCCTCTCTACCTACTCTCGAACCACCTCCCGCCCCACGATGACCGACCGCGCACCGCCGCCGCATCACCTCCGAACAGGAACGGGCCACACCCGTACAGGGCGCGCGAACCTAGCCGCCGCCGCCGTCGGGGGAGGCGGCGGTGGCGGCGTGCGGCGGAACCTATTCCAGAGCCAGCTGACGCGCCGTCCCACACCGACGACCACCGGGCCCTCCTCCACCTCCGCCGGCGGCAACCATCACAGTTCTTCCGCTTCTTCCGGTAACGGTATAGACTGTAGCAGCAGCAACAACAATAACAACAACAATAGCAACAAGGCGGCGCTGCTGCGGCTCGACGTTGAGGTGCTCTCCGATACCTCCGAGATCGTGATCCGCGACAAGAATGGGGATTTCGAGATGGGTGACCCGCCGACGCCGCCGCTCGAGGACCTCGACGAGGTCGTGCTGGACGATGCGCAGGAGAACGAAAGTACGTAGCGACACACGATGCACACGTGTAGAGAGGAGAACCCCTCCCCCCCCATATACACATACCTACATATACAACCTACACACTCTTGAAAGAGATGAAGAAGAGGAGAGGGGAAAGAGACAGATCTACGGGTAGCTAATCTCTTGACTCGTTTGCACAGGGGAAAGGCAAAAACTCGCCGAGACGGTCAGACACCACCAGATAAACCGAACGCCAGCGCAACCCGAAGGTAGGCAGCTCCCAAAAAAACAAGCAAACATATTTATTTATATATACAGTGGAGGATGCATATAAACATGGGAAGACCTAAACGCTGACATCAAGAGGACTATAGAGGTGCTAGAGGCGCTCAAGGCTAGCATGCGAGCACAGGTAATCGCATTGGCCGAGGACAACTGGATGTATGAGCCGGAGGAACCACCACGCGGACAATGAGAGAGAACGCCGCCCTACACGTAACGAGTGGTGACGGATGGTAAGGGTAGTTTTATCTTAAAGTCTGCTGCCTGAAACGAGGACTGCTGGCTCTCATCCCTTTTTCTAAAACTACCTACCTCGCCTACCCGAACCCGAACTCTCATCTCCCCCCTAGTCCAAGCCTTCGGCCGCAGGCATCGTCGTCGGAGCCTTAACGGCCGGGTTTCTCGCGTTATCGCTCGGAGGAAAAGCGCCACCTCCGCCGCCGAAGATGCCGCTCATCATGTCCATTAGCGGATTGCTCTGTCGCGGTTTTGAGATGCCGAAGTACATCTCGGCGATCATATCGAGGGCCTCGTTCCACATGTCTAGCTCCTTCAGGTGGCTAGCGTATTTGGTCGTCAACTGCCGGTACAAATCCGCGCTGTTCCTCTGGACCGCGAGGAGGAGGAGGCCGAGGAAATTAAGAAGCGGCAGGCTCGGGTAGATCCGTATGTCGGCGCTACTACTACTCACGTCTTGGGGACTAAGCTGTGCTTGCTTGTCTTCGTTCAGGGCGCTGGTGAAGAGCCGATAAGATGTATTGGCGGCGCGGACGTTGGCCGTGAGGAGGTAGGGTAGCACGGCTCGGCTGGCATATACCGCCGCTGTGTGGGCCTCATCCTCCTTGAACCACTCGTATTCCATGCGCGCTAGGACCTCGGCAGAGTCCTTGGTGCCCAGGACTAGGTGCTTCTCGGCCTCGTATGCCTCGTGCTCTTCGGCGTATAGAGAGCCTGCGACGTGGTGGAGCTCGGGATCGCCCGCAGGGTATTCACCATACTTAGCGGACCACCTGAGAAGAGCAAGTAGCACATAATTAGCACAACCATGCATACATACATAGGATATACATATTCATAAAGACAAAGTGGGGACAGTATTCCCGAGATATAACAAAGCATAAAAAAAAAAGCACGTACGCCATCATCTCCCCAATGTACTTCTTGCGCGTGGGCTCCTCGCTGTCGAACAGCCGCAGGCAGGTCAGTAGGCGGCCCTTGCTGACCGAGTCGGGCTTCATCTCGGCCTGCTTGTAGATGTCGACGAGCAGGACGCAGAGGTCCCCGCCACTACCGCCCTGGCCGGCCTTGAGCAGCGACTGGGCCACATTATAGATTATATCGACGGCGGCGGACCAGTTAGCAGCCTTAGTGTACCGGGCGGCGACAACGCGCGTCTGCTGCTGCGCCTCGTAGAACTGCCCCTCGCTGATGCGCTGCTGCAGACGCGCGATGATCTTCTCGATCTTGTCGCCTTTGGTACTCATGGCGGTTGGCGTACTCGTCGTCTTCGTCGGAGCCCGGACGGGGGAGGGGAGGTGGGCCTGGCCTCCTATCTAGATATTTTTGTGGTAATGTCTAGACAGCTAGGATTCTTGTCTGCTTGAACCCGTCTTTTGCCCCTTGCTAGTTGTGCTCTCTCTCTCTCTCCTCGCTCTGGGGGTATGCAGTATAAATAGATGTGCGTTGGGGGTAGGATTGGTTGTTGGGTTTAGGCTGGGGAAGCTTGACCGTTGGTGATTGGAGATAGATGGGGGATGGGGGGGGACCTTAGGTAAGGCTGGGGGAAGGTTTGAGGTTGGCTGGTAGGTAAAAGTGGTGGTGGGGTAATGGATAAAGTTGTCTTTGTCGGGCGTACCTACTTACAGGGTTTTATGTACATACGTAGGTAGGTGGGCTGGAGTTAGGTCATCATCTGGAAGGTTTCCGTCCCGTTTCTACTTAGTAGAAGTATGTAGCAGGTGCAGGTGCCTTACCTAATGTAACTTTTTTTATACCGTACTTACCTATGTCTGCCAAGACCCGATTTTAGGAGGGACAAGAAAACATCGGGAAACTGCCCCTCTTCACTCCCCCCCCTCCTTCTCTATTAGTGACCATCTGGCTTTATTGGTGCGCCCCTCCCATTCCTGCCGTTTTTCTGAGACTATCACGAAATTACCGCAATATTCGGTAATCACCATCCGACAATATATAGCTATTTACGACCAAAACTTTCATCTCCCGCACTGTTGGTGTAGTGGTAACATCTGAGCTTCCCATGCTCAGGCGCCGCGTTCGATTCGCGGGCAGTGCACATCTGATTATTTTTTTTGTGTCTTTTACGTGTTGACAGGACTTTCCTATAATGATTGACGGAGGGAATGCGTAGGTTGTTATTCATTTCAATTCTTTTTTGTATGTATTAGAACACTTATGGTTTGGCCGAGGCATGTATATTGGCATATACGTTTGTGGTTACTTATAATTGAAATGCATGGAGGGGTTATCCCATTCATCACTATTGTGAGTCACCACAGCATCAGGTAATGTACATCAATACCGGTAGATCCAATGTGTACTAAGTAGGTATCGAAAGCAAGTAATCATTCGTGTAGACACTGTGTAATACCTACGACTAGGTACCCAGGTGCTCGAGAGTGCCCCAAGCTCTACCTTTAGAGCATCTACCTATCTAGCTTTGCTGCGGGTAGCACGGTGTATCATACTTAGTTCCCCAGAAGGAGGATCTTGGTTAGAGATGAGGGCTCCTCTTTTCCCGATCCATCTCTGATCTATACGGCGTATTGAACGGACATCTATTGGATCAATCGTGGCTGATGAAAGCACAGTCGCTCAGCATGGATGAGAAGAATCCAGATAAAGTCTCACAGTAACCCAGACTCACTCACCTTCGTTATGTGACCAGTATTTAATCAAGTAATTGTGCGTGCCGTGGGTTGGTAGATAATTGAAGGAAGTTCAACTATAATACCACCGTTCGTTCATTCATTCATTCTCACATATGAAGTGTTTCGCCATTCGACAATGTCACACGCACGTCTCACGACATCGGTCCTAGCGAGGCTAGCTGCAGCCGGCCCCTCTGGCAGGCCGCGTACGCCAACCTCAGCAAATATCTTGATCTCTTTCCCATTGCAAAGGCCATGTGCCTCGTATGCCAAACCTCGTGCACGCGCAATGGGTGGTGGCATTCCCACCGCGGGGGCCAGGAGCTGGTTAGCGAACACAACCACACCAGCTAGCCGCCCCTCCACGAAACGACAACCGAACAGCAACACCCATCACGATGGTGGTGGTGGCTCCTCTAGCCAGCCTACGGGAGGTGCCCCCACGCCGGATGCTTTTAGCTTCAAGAGCCTGGGTATGACCCCCGGGGTCCGAGTTGTCGTATATACGGCCTTGGGCATCTTCGGTACCATGGAGACCATTCTTTGGATCAAGGTCTTCTGGAGGTGGTGGACGGGCAAGGGGGAGGAGGACGAGCCTCAAGCTTGAGTTGAATACAACATAAAGTCGTCTGGTTTTGTTCTCGTTTTTGGTGTCAAAGATACCCTGTGCGCTTCAGAAGGGCGTTATCCTCGGGGGTTCGGTAGTTTCTGGGCTAGCTCTTCTTATGCTGGACCAGCCAACAAGAGCGGCTAAGACATCGCAGCTCTGGAGTTAGACTGATTATATTTGTATATTATATAGCTCCTGTCTATTTTTGACGTTGTTCGAGGTTGGTTCCCGTATACCCGGGTTTTGTAATACTACTTGGTTTTCTGGGCTTGGCCGGCATGAAATCTCGCTTCACCTTCGCGGGCCTCGCGTTCGTCGTATAGGTATTATAATAGATACGGATGCTCTTCTCTCGCTCGTATGATGCGGATGGTGACAGACAGGTCCTCCTCAAATGGTATGCTGACTGAAATACACGAAGGCCTTCGGGATAAAATCTCCCAGCGGTGAACTAGGTAGACAGCCATTGATCTTGGTCACACGGGTTGCCCATGCCGACTACGAGATACTACTTTAGGGGTCTCACGGGACGGTTCAAGCGTTCCTCAAGGTGTCTCGCTTGAAGTACTTGATTCCTTAGCCGCGAAATCCTCAGGCGCGCGACGAAAAGATCCTAAACCGCCGCATTGGGTGTCTATGCGCCGGACCTCCGTTGGTTAGGTACTTACTGTATAGCTGCAGCCGCAAATGGCGGGATGGAGAGAACAGGTTTGGATTCAAGTATTTCCTGGCCCGCGAGCTTAGAAGACCCTGCTTGCATGTTCTAGGTCCAGGTCTGACCAACAGGAGCGGATGTGGCAGTTATGCCCGACCCGCCGATGAGGGCATTCAGACACCTCCTTACGAACAGGTTCGCAGACGAAACCAACCCCTCCTTCCCCTCTCATCCCCTCTCATCCCCTCCCCTTCCCTCCCCTCCCCTCCCTCCCGCTGTCCCCCAAGACTACCTATGCGACGCGGAAGACTTGATTTGCAACGTCAAGTCTCGAGATCAGAGGGTTCTCTCCCAGCCGGCGCAAGACTCGTGTGATTACGAGAATTGCCTGTAGGTAAAGCCAAATATAGTAGTTGATCATGAGGTTAGGAGATATTAGAATATTTATGAGTCTTCATCGTCTTCACCATCTTCTTCTTCATTCTAACCGCGTGCTACGTTTTCACCGTTGGGGTTGGGCTAAAAAAAAAAACTAAAAAAAACTGCGCAAGTTCCAAGGCAGCTGTACTTATCATACGGTTGCCTCAAGACATGCCTTAGGCACAAAGTCAAGAATTATCATGGCAGTTCCAAGGTTTTACGGCCCCTCTTGCTTAGCTGGTCCATCCACCCCGTCTCTGAGAGCTTTGTGGCTTCCCCCAAAGACGGGCTGGGTGACCAACTTGGCGGTCGTGTATGATCTGCTTCCCTCAGCATGTATAAGTCGGGTATAAGCGGCGCGGAAAAGCCAGGATATGCTCGACTGCCAACGCCGCAGAGTCCACTGCCATGATTGTTAGGTTTCTAGAAAGCTGGAAAGCTTGGTTGCTTGACGAGCTGTGACAACATTTGCATTCTTGTCATCACACCGGCTTTTCGATAGGGTCGCATAAGTGTTCACGGGCTACAGGGGGGTTGCTTGGATGGGCAGGATGGGCAGGATGGTTAGCGTCTGGTGTTAGTAAAAGGGCGTTAAAGGGGGGGGGGAGGGAGCTTTGTTGGAAATGTTCGCGAGACAAGCTGGGCGTTGGCTTATACCCAATAACTTATCAACCTATTAACCTAACCTATTAACTTAACCTATTATCCTATCCTACCCTGCCCGTCTGCCCGCCTCTCAGTGAAGCGCAAATGGATGCATCTTGACATCAGCTGTGTCTGCATAGGAGAACCTAGTCGTACTTGGGATGGAAGAAAATCTCCTAGCCACTCGCAGCGGTCATTTCCGTATGCCACGAGGGTGTGCGTTGTGTGCGTACGCACCGCCACTTGTCCTCCCAGATCCCTTCCCAGGACCCTTATTTTTCAACCCAAGTTCTGGCCCAATCCAGGGTCCTAGCCAGCATCTTGTCCAGCTTGAACCTTGATTCTGCCCTGGCGGGCCCTGTTTTTATGCAGGCTAGGCTCTTTCTAGGTGAGACAAATCGACAGTTTAGCCACATGAGTCAAGCCACCCAGGTCCCTTAAGATAGGCCTGATAATTAACGGTCAGCCAGTATATGCCCCTAGGTACCTAGGTACTTATACTTAGTACTTATACTTAATAATTAGTACCGACAGCCCTGGACGCTGGTTGTAGGCTGGGAGGGTTCTTCTAACTTAGTCCATTTATCTAAAGTATCTACCAGACCTCTCTCTATATATGTAGGTGTCTATACACCTACCTAGGTATATATCTATCTATCCTTTTATTCCTCACGTTTTCGCTGCCATAAATTTGCTTCGTCATTCTGTCGACACTCCACATCCTCGTTGTGAGTATACATAGGTAGTATACTTACCTATATGTATATCCTGCCCATTGGATATAACCGCCCCCACTGTGCTCTGGATTGGATGGTAACAGTGAAAACATGACTGCTGAAGTTGGAGCGACCGTTGCTACCGGCGCTGCTGCTGCCGCCACAGCAGAAGAGATCAAGCCATACAAACTACATGTGAGCTTGGCCCGATTCTCACCCTCCGAGCGCTGATCTTTTTTTTCTGGTCAAGCCGTAGTCTATCTACATATACCTGTCGTTCACAAAATTCACTTCAAAGTTCTGGCTAACACAGTCGATTCCTCTCTATAGGTCTCCTCAAAGTATCTGGATCTCACCAGACAGAAGCTTGAAATCACTAGGTTGCCTCACGAGGTCTCTGAGCCCAAATCTGAGGACTGGTGGGAGCCCAAGTCCCAGATCGAGCCAGTCATTGACTTTTGGTAAGTCTTGGTGCCGTTTTGTTTCTTTAGTGTATGAAACACTCCAAGCCCCTATTTTTCTCCTCTTGCATTGAAACCATGACGACAGTCAATTAAATAGCGAAGGCTGAGGACCACAGTTGCGCTAACATCTGGCAGGCTTGAACAATATTCATGGCGAGCACAGGAAGATGCACTGAACAACGAACTGCCGCAATTCCGCACTTCGTTCACCATTGCTTCTTCTAAGACGCCTATCAGGACTCATTTTGTCCACATACGGTCGCCTCATGCAAATGCGATCCCTCTGCTTTTGATACCCCCGTTCCCCTTCTCTAACCTCTCATTTGGGCATCTGGTCAAGCCGCTCACGGACCCAGAAGATGCCGCAAATAACCAGCCTTTCCACCTGGTCATCCCATCATTGCAAGGTGTAGGATTTAGCGATGCGTTTCCAAACAACACCCCCGTGATCTCCACCAGTGCAGAGATCCTTGACGCCTTGATGAAGCGACTCTCGTATTCCTACTACCTGGTGACCAACGCCAGCTCGGGGGCTGCTTCTCCGGCAGAAATCGACTACAAACTCGCCAATTACTTATCAACGCGGTATCAAGACTCTTGTCTAGGGACACATTTTATTTCGCCGCCGCTAGCAAAGCCGAAACTGAAGGAGGCCCCTGTCCAATGGGCAAAGTGGTCGGTTGCCAGTTTCTTAAAAGCTCCGGTCCTCGGATACAGCCGCGATGACTTCCCCGCTCTCGAACGAAGCGGTGGCTATGCTAGGCGCGCAAAGAAAACCAAAACCGACCCCAGTTTCGGTCTGAACCAGTTTGAACTGCGCGAACCGAATACCCTGGCGTATGCTCTCTGCGACTCGCCAACTGGCTTGCTAGTGTTCGTGCTGAAGAGCTTACGT